GCGTCTCTCACAGGGCCCCAGGGACCTGCAGGACGGGCGGGCACAGTGAGGAGCGGTTGTGACAGAGGAGCTGCTCACACCTCCCTGCTTCAGGCTGCACATGCATTTCAGAAGCAAAGGCAACTCAGTCACACGTCCTGCCACCCCCCAAACCTGCCCTTCCCCAAATCAGCCACGTCTCACAGCTCAAAGGCAGGCTGAAGTTCAACAGCATCTAAACATCCCGTTCCCTTCAGTCCAACCTCCCCCCTCCCCAGGCAGCCTCCTACCCACTGCCACTTGCTTTCCCTCCCAGCCTCCCGCTGCCACCTCCTGCCTCCTCGGGGCCCTCGCTCCCCTCCCTGGGAAGGCTGGGATAGGGAGCCAGCCCCGGGCACCCTGTGCCCCTGCTCCCCCCCGCAGCCCCTGGCTGGGGCAGCCCTTTGATCTTTTCGAGAGTGTTTGCGAGATGCTTATGCGTCCCCGCCGCCGCTTTCTTCCAGCCTTTCCATGTGTCTGCGGCTCTTATCAACTCTTCGGCAGAGAATACACGAACGGGAGGGAAATGCTCAGCCGCCGTCTCGCACCTCCCAGGAAAGGCCTTGCTCCACCGCCTCACATCCCCCTCCACTCGCAAGAGCCGATTCCTTCCTGGTGGCAAAAACAACGTAGACAAGGAGAGACAGTGGTACAGTGGTCAAACCAAAAATACATTACTACACACAGAGAGCAGCAGCTGAGTGCTAGGCCAGCGGATGCCGCTGGCAGCACCGCTCCGGCTCTGGGACATGGCAGCACACATGGCATTGCGGGAATCTCTGCCCCGACGGGGCTTGGGCGCTATCCTTGGGAGCGGGGGGACAGCGTGAGCTGGCAGGAGGGGCACCCGGGACACGGCACCCCGGCCGCACCGAGGGGCTCAGGGCACTCAGGGATGCAGTGGGACACCCGCTCCATGTCGGAGCGAGGGCAACGTGCTGCCGCCTCCCCCAGTGCTGCCTCACTGCGGCCGCGAGGCCTGGACACAGGAATTGCTGAAGGACAACGTTCAACTGCAAACATGACCGCACAGCCCCAGGAGTCAGGACTAGGAGCCTGCATGGGCCTCAATGCATAGATGTGCTCTGGGAAGACCTGATAAAGCTCTGAAAGCATTTGGAGGTTATGAAGAGCGTGGTTAGAGGAGTCACACCATAAGGAGGAGCAATCAGAGGGAAATTAAGCATTCATCTTAAAGAGTTCCTCCTGGGCAGAAAGAAAAACACCCTCAAAACCAAAGGCTGGCATGCAGTAATGATTTTTGCTATTAGGGCCCCATTACAGAAGCTGGAAATTAGAAAGCATTTTCACACCAGCAAAAGCTCTGGAGCAAATGAGGTTCCGTGACCATAAAAATGTCTCCGGTCCACAATCAATTTTATTTGTGAGAACCAGTATTAGTTATTCAGGCAAAAGATGATTTTCTTCAATGTATCTTAGACTTAGGCTAGGTCTCAACAGCAAAAAAGTATTTTGATGCTCTTTTCTTTTTTCTTTTCTTTTCTTTTCTTTTCTTTTCTTTTCTTTTCTTTTCTTTTCTTTTCTTTTCTTTTTTTAAAAAAAAGCTCTCTTAATGAGAATGAAATCCATCTAGTGTGACTGCTGCTCCTCAGGGTGTCCATATCCCAGCACAAGCTTTTGAACCTGTGGGATAATTGAAATTAAAACCGATATAAAAAATAGGTCCCCGAGATAACAAGGTTTTGCAGGCTCAGGCAAACCAGTCGGGTAGAGGAGAGAGACCTGAACTTGCACGACTAAGAAGCCCCACTATTTTTAGATACACCAGGGCACTGGATTGAAGAGAGCACACAGCTCGGCCTCCATGCTGGACTGTTCCCATCATCACCTACACGAGGTAGCACCTGCTGCTTCTTGAAGCTACGAGGTATCACACCACTCGTATTGCAAGCTCTAGCACAAACAAATTTTAGTTCATGCAAGTTATCTTTTCATACTGTAGTAAAGTTGACTTTTCGTCCTTTTTATAGTCATTAAATAATGCCTGTCTCCTCATGCAAGCCTGGGGCCTGGGAAATGTCTCTAGTTGTTTTCCCACAGGGAAGCACATTAGCTGCTGTCCGGAGCGGGTTCTCGGGGCACTTTGGCCACTGCAGAGCGCAAGGGGACGGCGCAGGGAGCACAAGCGCCTACAGAAGCTGCGCTCCGAGATCAAAGCGTGAGCCCATTTCCCCATTTATGAGTTGGGAATAGGTCTATTAGCTCCCAGCACTTGCTCTTCCTGGGGACGTGGGCAATATACATTGATGAAACCCTTGTCCCAAGGGAAGTCTGAGGCTGGAAAGGGCCGGGCAGCGGAGGGCCCAGGCCTGCCCTGGCCTCATCCTCCTTCATGCCCGGTCCAGGCGCTGGGGGCAGCCCCAGAAGGGATGTCCTCGCATTTCTCCTCCACAGAACGCGCCATCTCTCCCAATGGCACAGCCAAGGCCAGGCCTTGGTGGGGTTAGCGACAGCAGTGGCCATCAGTTCTCCATCGCCCTCTTTGTCATGATTCCCCGCTCATACAAGGCAGCTCGAGCGGCTGCCCCTGCCTGAAGCAGTCGGCCCCGTTGCCTCCCTTTCCAGGCTCCTTCCCAAGCTGCCGGCCCAAGCTGGGACATGATCTTAACACAACCATCCCTGCCCTCCCTGCTCCATTGGGCCTTGGTCACCCTGAGCACAAGCAACCCGGCGAGGTTGCTGCAAAGCCCTGCGGCTGCACGCACACAAACCTGGGGCACGAAGCCTCTTCTGAAATGGCTTTTGGGAGCAAAACACGGCGCCCGGCACGGGCTGACCCCGCAGCGAGGGCAGGGGGAGGCAGCGTGCGGCCTGGCCGGTGGCCAAGGTGGT